GAATCCAGCTTTACTTAACACCAGCATTCATGGTCCAGCCAGCAGAGTGCCTTTATCTCCACCACCTCCTAAGTCCGATTCAGAAGACTTATCCAGAGGGGTTTCCAAGCCCCAACCCTGCGTCCTCAGTTCTTTCTGGGCCGTGGCTGTAGAAGCTGGTGGCATCCCTAACGGGTGGGTGGGCAGTAGAGGGCTGCACACCTTTCGGATGACGGGGTCGTCTGTGGTGGTGACGGTGTGGAAGATGCGCTTGATGCTCCTCAGGGGCTTCTCGCTCCTCGTGGTGATGCGGTCGAAGGCTTTGTCGTAGTATTCCAGGGCCCCGCAGCACTCGCTGTAGGGAGAGTGGGCAACACATGCAAAGTAAGGGGAAGATCACCTGCTTTTACTGTTATGCCTTGGAATCTGGAGTCTTCCCCAGAAGTCTAATATGTAAGAAGTGAAAAGAGTATCCGACTGGAACAGGAGATGAACTCTCAGGGCTCACTCAGGTGCCTGTTCCCTGAGCCCCCAATGTGGCTCCAGATAATAGTGTGAACACAACCGATTCAGCTCAACCTCCCCATTTTAAAGGCGGGAGATGAGGACTGACAGGCATCCAGACGTGTTGATGTTGAGTCTGGCGCTTCAAGTTATTCCCACTCCGTGCCCTGTGAGGTAAGGAGCGCTCCAAAGTGTCAGGAAAGCTTTGCTTGTCCTGAACAACTGCTGTCTTTCTCCTTCTGCCAAAAGAGCTATATAACTTAATTTCTCTTTTGCTCAAGATTCCAGGAAGCGGAAAGAAACCTGGAATTTAATATCAGCAAATTTCTTTCTGCTTTTGCTTTGCTCCTGTTCTCCTGCCAAAAAGAGCTATACAACTTCTTTCTTTCTTTTGCTTGCAATGCCAGGAACTTCAATGCGATCCAAAGTTTATTACCAGTAACTGCTTTCTTGCCACCTTCCCATGATTATTTTTGAGTAAGTGGTTTGTCTTTTTTTGGAAATACTAGGGCTTCAGAAAAATATTCACCACCAGCTGGTCCACCCACGTGAGAGCATGATGGAAGGCAGTAAGATGCCACTCACATGTCCTGTGGCTCTGAGACTTCCAAGTAGCGCATCTTCATTAACTGAGGGAAGTCCATTTCTTCTTTCACCTCCCAGTCACTGCGAACTTCAACCGAAGAGTCTCGGGGTTTCTGTCATGAAAACCACGGGGGGGAACAGAATTACAGCCAGTGTAAAGCATAAGTGAAAGGCAGGTTAATAGTACGAAGGGCTTTTATTCAATAAATATACCTGGAACATTAACTACGTGCTGGCTGTTTATAACACAGCACCCCTGACTCTCAGGAGCTAACAATCCAGAAGAGGACCAAGGCATCAAGAGTTCAAAAACAAAGGAAAATTCCTCCCCTCATTAAGATGTCACCAGGGAACAGCAGCTCTTTATATTTCCCAAAGGAGCTGTAGCAGCCCCTTTAGATTTCTCTCAAGGTATTAGCTATCTATTCTTGACACAGCAAGCATCTTATTTAGCAAAATGTAACTTCCACAATTGTAACTACACCCTTGCTTACATGTGTCTTCTATTCTCACAATGTCCACACAAACATTCGTACAGGAATGTTCACAGCAGCATTCTTCATAATAGCAAACAGTGGAAACAACCCAAATGTCCATCAACTGGTGAACAGATAAACAAAAGGTGGTCCATCCATACAATGGAATTCAGCAATACAAAAAAATTAAGAACGGACACATGGTACAACATGGATGTACCTTAGAGATCACACATTGCAGGATTCCACTGATAGGAAAAAACGAACAGAACAGGCACACCCAGAGAAAGAGACTAGAGTAGTGGTAGTCTAGGGTTAGGGGAGACTAGTGGCTGACTGCTAAAGGGTACAGGGCTTCTTTTTAGAGTGATGCAAATGTTCTGAAATTGACTACAGTAATGATGGTACAATTTTATAAATATACTAAAAACCATGTTGTTTAGTATATGAATTATATCTCAAAGCTGTTACAAAACCAAACAAATAAACAAAATCAAATGCCCAGATAGAATTCTGGCACGAATACACTACCTGTGATTTTTGGTCCCATTTCTGCCTCACGCCAAACTGTTTCTGAAATTTTTTCTGCAGTCGTATGCGTTCTCTGGAAAGACAGAAAAATTGTGCCTTCAGTGCAGATTTTTAAGAAAAGTGAGGGCTTAATAAAGAGGAACAAAAGAGATGATCTCCTTTGCTGAATGGCTGGTAGGGTATATTGTCCTCAAATACTGACCAGGTCTATTTTACTCCATCTAGAAACTGTCCACTGGCAGCCCCAACCTGGGCCAGACCGTTGCATGGTGCAGCTCCAGGAGGGCTCATAGGACCCAGTGCGAATAGGGCCCCAGGAGTTGTGCTCCGGCAGAGCTGAGCCTAGGTAAGCTCCAGAGCAGGGGTCCTCAAACTTTTTTAACAGGGGGCCAGTTCACTGTCCCTCATACCGTTGGAGGGCCGGACTATAGTTAAAAAAAAAAACACACTATGAACAAATTCCTATGCACACTGCACATATCTTATTTTGAAGTAAAAAAACAAATGTTTTCGGCGGGCCGCAGTTTGAGGACCCCTCCTCCAGAGTCTCTGATTTGCCTTGGTGTCCTTCAGCGTGTATGTCCACTGTAAATAGCTTCTTGCTCGTGCTGTCTGCCTCGAACTGAAACTGGCCCTTAGGGCACGATGTCAGGTTGAAGCAGTGGCTTAGCCTGCTTAGGAAGGTGGTTTTGTTTGCAATAGTGGGGAAGACCACCATTTTCCTCTCTGGCCTAATGAGTTCAGAGTGTTTAGTCCTGGAAGAATGCCTTGTCCTGGCAGGCTGGGAGCCTCACCTCTCTTTCTGCTTGGCGCTCTTAGGCAGGGTCTGCAGATTGAACTGCAACATGTTCCGTCGATCTTTGTCTCTGCGGAGATTCCGCTGGGAATTAGGAAAAAACATCCGTGTTAAAATCTTTAAGATTTGGCTACAGTAGGAAGTGCTTCATGGGAGGTCATTAGCCAAAGTTCAGAATGCCAAATCCAAGCTGTACATTTTATTCTTATTATTTTTTAATGCTTTATTGATTTTAGAGGGAGGAAGGGAGAAACACTGATGAGAGAGAACATCAGTTGGTTGCCTTGGAGACTAAACCTGTAACCTAGATATGTGCCTGACTGGGACTCATCCCACGACTTTTCAGTGTATGAGATGATGCTCCAACCAACTGAGCCACACATGCCAGGGCCAAGCTGCACATTTTACTTTGCCTTTACTCTAATAATCAACAGTCTGGGGGTTTAGTTGAGTATATACTTGGAGTTGGCTTAGATGCACATTCACTTAGAAGTACTATTTTACTGAAGTAAGTTTACTGGCTCTTTATTAGAGTGACTGAGTTTGCCTTTTTATATAATGAGATGTGATCCAACTGGACCATCTGCTTAATAAAGTCTGTAGTCTAGCAATTAAGTCAGGCAATAGGCACAGATACACCTTTTATCTGGCACAAACGTCATTCTTAGCACAGGGGTACAATGTCCTACTTACTGGTCAACAGAAATCTAAACCATTTAAATGCATCCCTGGAACTAGTCAAGTTTACTTTACATAGTTTGTCACTGAGGAGCTCCCTAGGGTTCACAAGAGGACCCATAACATGCCTTCCTCTCATCAGTACTCACAGGGCTGCACTTTTAGCAGCAGATAACAGCCCTAAGGTGGTCAGACTGCTGGCTCCTGGCCTACCTGTGCAAATCGCATTCGATTCCGCTGGTAGGCGGTCTTCTGGGTGCGCGCTGTGTCCACCAGCTGGAAACTCGTTTCATCCTCCTCGTGGAAATAAGCATACTGACTTCCACCACCAAACTGAGAGGAGTACTTATCTGGAGGCAAAGGGGATAGTGTGTAACAACCACCACCTACAGACTTACGAATACACACCAGCTTAAAGCCCTGCAATTTAAGTGTGGATCCCTAACATTGGCTGGGAGCATCGTAGACATGCAAACTCACAGCCTCACCTGACCACTGACTCAGAACCGCATTTAAAAAGGATCCCCAGGTGATTCATGCACATTTAAGTTTTAAAAAGTTCTGATCTAAAGACTTTTAAAGTCAAGACAGAATCTGAGGAACTCAAGATAAACCCATTCCACTCTCTGCCTCAGTCTGTAAGAATATGAGTTAAAATTTATTCTTGCAGGAGGCAAATATGGGATTTAAGTACTATCACTCTCATCATCTGGTGCCCAAGGCAGACATGTCTAATGGCTGCCCTGAGACTCAGATAATCTTAACTTACTATTCCAGAGAGCCACTTCCAACTATCTCTGATAAAAAAACCAATTTACTGTATCAGTATCTTAAACCCAGGAATTTAAAACTGGAATCCACTGCGTGGCTTCACCGATTCACTAAACCCCACACAATGAAATGCAAAATGGGAATATAAAAGGGTTCATGGCTCCTCAAAAACGGGGGGTGGGGGTGGGAATCCCACTATAACAGGTCAAACTTCTTCAATGAACAGTCTACCTTTTAGGGCTACTTCCAAAAAATGTGGTAGTGTCCACAGTCTAGAATAAGCTCCTAAAACTATGTATTATCAGCATCTCGTCACCATTCTGGAACACTTTCAGGTGGAGGTTACCAGAAAAAGTAACCATTTTCCCAAGGACCTGATTGGGCAGTCAGTCAGAACACTTACTCGTGTATCTCTTATCTTGGTATGTGGTACCCGTCCAGTCTGCAACCTAGTAAGAGCAACAAGGGAAGACAGAGCACACAGGTCAAGCAGGCAATTTTCTGTTGACCCAGAAACCCCCAAAGCGAGACACAGAGTGGGAAAGCAGCAGGATCGGCTCACAATGCCTTTGTAAGTGCCCAGCTCTCCTATGACTACTGGAGGTACCCAGAGGCCATAACCTTTCTCAGCTGGTGTCCCCGTAAGGAACACAGGACTAATGCTTTTGAGAGAATAAAACGGAAGAGGGGTTGTCCTGGATCACGGGTGTCATGAACTTTGCCATCTTCTAAAACCTTAAATATACAAATACTGTAAGTAGCTTCATGAAGAAAAGCCTAAAGGTAAAAAAAAGCCTATTTGAGGAAAGCTAAGACATAGATTAAATTAAAAAGCAACATATGAAATGGAACTCTCAAATCTTAGCTACTCCTTTGTTTTCTTGTAAACAATACTGTGAATACTTATAACTGATAAGACTACTAACAAAACTGCTTTATTACACTTCACTGACGTTTTTCCACTGTAACATCTTTCAAAGGAGTCTGCACCTCATGCTTGGTGGGGTGTCATACCTTAATTGGCAGTTTTTCTTTCTTACTGTTATATAGAATAATGGTGCTACATAAAATAACAGTGTTTCTTAAGTTTGGTGGTGTCTCAAAGATTTGATAAAATGCAGTAACTTTTTTTTCAAGTGTAATTACTATGTCCAGGTCCTTAGAAACACTTTCACCGAGACATAAAATATTTAGCTTCCCTAAACCCATTTCTTCATGTGTAAAATAAGTTCCTTGTTTTATTAGTTAACACACACAGAGATTCTTTCATTGTAAATGTTACACGATTACTATTCAGACTTGTAAAAATACATCTACTCAGAGTGCTGAGGAAAATAAGAGTCTGTAGGTATATCCTGAAATTCAACTTTCTTTTCTTGTTCTTCCAATAGTCTGTTAACGCAAATCCTTATGCAGAGCAAGTGGACACAGAGCTAAGCAAAAGGCCATAAAAGTGGCCATACATCAAATGTTCATAGCTATTTGAGTACCAAGCATTGTTCTCAGTGATTACCATGCATATTCATTAAATCCCCCCAACCGTCTGAGGGAAGGGCCAGTATTGTCCCTACTTTTCAGAAAAGAAATGGCCCAAAGTCATAATGCTGGTCTTCTATCATTGACAGTCCCTCTAGGTTGTGGGCTGCTTGCCTGTGTTCCTGAGAAGCATCTACGGTACCAGTCTATAGAGTGTGTTTTCTTTAGTGAATTACCGGTATGTTTACCGGTAATAAACTTGCACTGTTTTATGTATATGTTTGATTACATACAGCCTTGTGACAGTTTTCCTGCATGTCATAAGCATTTGAATATAAATTAAAATGTTAAAATCAAATCTGATATTGTTTTACCTTTTATTTGGTGTGTGGAAGGTGTGCGGAAGAGGGGGTAGTCTTATACGGCGAGTATATAACAAACTCTGTATTTTGAGTGGAAATGTTAGGGGGTTGTCTTATACGCCCAGTCGTCTTATACGCCGGCAAATACGGTACTAACAAAACTACTTTACTACACTTCATTGACTTTTTTCCACTGTAACATCTTTCAAATGAGTCTGCACCTCATGCTTGGTGGGGTGTCATATCTTAATTGGTAGTTTTTCTTTCTTACTGTTATATAGAATAATGGTGCTACGTAAAATAATAGTGCTTCTTAAGTTTGATAAAATGCAGTAACTTTTTTTTCAAGTGTAATTACCATGTCCAGGTTCTTAGAAACACCTTCACCAAGACATAAAATATTTAGCTTCTCTAAACCCATCTCTTCATGTGTAAAATAAGTTCGTCGTTTTTATTAGTTAACACACACAGAAATTCTTTCATTGTAAATGCTACCCAATTTCTATTCAGACTTGTAAAAATACATCTACTCAGAGTGCTGAGGAAAATAAGAGTCTGTAGGTATATCCTGAAATTCAACTTTCTTTTCTTGTTCTTCCAATAGTCTGTCGTAACGCAAATCCTTATGCAGAGCAAGTGGACACAGAGCTAAGCAAAAGGCCATAAAAGTGGCCATACATCAAATGTTCATAGCTATTTGAGTACCAAGCATTGTTCTCAGTGATTACCATGCATATTCATTAAATCCCCCCAACCGTCTGAGGGAAGGGCCAGTATTGTCCCTACTTTTCAGAAAAGAAATGGCCCAAAGTCATAATGCTGGTTGATGAAAAAAATGAACCCTGGCTATCTGGCTTGAGTCCATACGCTGCCTAATGCGACAGCTCCTCTCAGGAGGGTAAAAACCAGGGCCTCCCAACGGATGTTTCAGGCAGTTTCTATCAAAAACCCTCTGAATATGCTCAGATGGCGAGTTCCCAGAGGAAATCTCATCACACAAATATTTCTGGAGGCCAGAGAGCAACCAGGGAGCACAGGACACTGAAGTTAGTAAGGAGACGAAGGCTTCCTACAGAGGTGCCGGCAACTGGAGTTGGGCGACAGCGAGAAAATGAACTTGCAAGCTCTACCCACCAACTCGGAACTTAGGAAGTTTTACTACAAAAAAAGGGCTGGAGGGGAGGGGTGGCAGTCGCAGAACTTAAGTATTGGGCTGCTACTCAGTGTCGGGCACTGTGCCGGAGACCTCAACACCACTGACTCTCCCACACCCCACTTTAGAGATAAAAACTTGTAGCTCAGCCAAATCAAGGGGTTGATCTACCCATCATTTCAAAATAGACCTGATCCCAGGGCTGTCTGCGGTAAGTCCAGCATTCTTCCCATCATATTCCAGCTGGCGAGCAGCCTGAAAAGACCTGGGGTTTCAGGCTGTATTTAATAGCACAACAACGATGTCTCCAAATCACACTTTTAAAAGTCTGCTTGACCTGTCAGCTGGAGGAGGAAACAGGTCCACGGCTTAACAGGCATTCCTCCTGGGAGTGGAAGTCCGGGTTTCCACACGAGCGAAATAAGTGCGCGGAATGGAACAGGTAGGACCGACCGAGCCCTTCAGTTAAAATGGCCTGACAGCTGGGCGGGCACCAACAGGGCAGTCAGGGGGCCTGGTTGCAGGCGGCCGCCGTATTGTGTAATTATCGCTGTCACTACAGGTCGTGCCCCATCAAGCCCCGATGGTTCGGATCTGAGCTCAGACATGCTCCACCCTAGCTTCTGCTTCACATTAAACTAAAGGAAGGAAACCTTCAGACTGGGAACTCCTCAGGGCAGGCCGAACACCGACTCGCTTGGCATTCCCGGAAACTCAAGCTTTGGCCACTTAAAAGACCCGGAGACCCAGCTGGGTCAAATGACATTATTAAATTCGCTCAGCCCTCGTCCACTAAGCGGAGTTTAGAGCCAGGGACCTCACGCACCCCGCACGCTGGACCTGGGCCCCGGAAGGCGGATTCCTGCCACTTCCAGCGGAGGGACAGCGGCAGCAGGAGGGGACGTCCGGGGGGGTCTCTTCCGGGAGCCTCTGAAAGCCGGGCCCAGCCCAAGCCGGCTCCGGAGGCCCCCGGAATCCTACGGAACACGCCACTCACCTGCACGGGCCTCAGCCGGCCCGGATGGCGAAAGATAGACCAGGCCAGACAGCTCGCTACCTGCTGCACTCCGAGGCGACTGGAAAGGAGGGACGGTGCGCGCGCAGTGACCGGCGCCGTAAACCTGACCGGCGCTGCCGTAAACTGCGCTGCCGCTTCCTTTGGGCTCGGCGGCGGAACGCGAGTCGTAAAGCGAAGGCACACCGGAAGTTTGTCACTGCTCTTTGGGAGGTGGCTTCATTAGCCTTGTCGGCTCTTAGACACAAGAAGGGTGTTTACAGTTACGCCCGGAGGCACCCGGCGACGCCCCGAAAAGGCGTTTAGATTTATTGCAACGTGGCAGCCGTGCCGTCAAAGCTGGAGGCGGGAGCGGCTGACGGCCCCCCTGTGTCCCACAATGCCTTGCGGGCCGTTCGGCCTCTCAGTACGCAGTCGCGCCGGCCTTTTCTAGCCCATCACGTGATTCGAGTCTCACCGGCTGGGGGAAGTCGAGCGTCCAGAGGCAGATTTTATTGTTATTCTCCCGCTCCCTCGGCCCCCGTCTTTTCCAGTTTGGGAAACCGCGGTCTAGAGCTGTCAAGCGACCAGTCCAGCCTGCTAATGTAGTTCTCAAACTTTACTGTCCGTCGAGGATGTCGGGAGCCCTCATTTGAAAAATGCAGATTCAAGTATGTGGAGCCCACGGACGGGCATGTTAAATCAGCATCTGTGATGCTCAGGGGCCACCCAGGAAGCACCTTCCTACGGTGGGCGACAGTGCTGCCCTTCCCGCAGCTCCCAGCTACGGCGTTTGTCCTGGAATCTTACTGGGGAATTTCAGAACTTTGAAAGCGAACCTTTTGAGGGCGCGATTTTATTCAAACCTCAGATCCTCTTCTACCCTGTCTCCTAGGTTTCACCTTGTCAGTCTTCCAAGCTGTCTCCTTTATTGGCAAATATATCGGCGATGAGATCTGATATCTGCTCTTGACCGCCCCTTTCTAAGCTGGGCCTCACTTTCCTCAGCTATCCTAGGAGGTAATACGAAGGAGGTGCTGTGAGGGTAAAAGGAAAAGTATGTAATTCCACTCGCCAGTTGGGTGAGCTTGGGCAGGTTATTCGATCTCTAAAGCGGCTTGCTTCTCTGCAAAATGGAAATGTGAATAGCAGCACCTGTTTCCATAAATTGCCTCCCAATCTGCTCACCTTCCAGTTCTCCCAATGTTTGTTAATGGGACCCAAGGAATGGTGCTCTGTGCAAAACCTTGTAGTCATCAGTACTAGTCCCTTTCCCCTCTGCAACTACATTGAGTTCTCTGCTAAGTCCTCTTTGTTTTTCTTTCAGAATCCATCTTGAATGCCATTTCCCCACCACCTCCAGCCTGGCGTCTGGACCCTTAGTGCCCACTCTTGCTCCTCTAGGATTACCTCTCACGTGGTGAAAGCTCGAGTTACTTCCTCAGGGAGATCTTCTCTGACCACTATTCCCAAGACCGCTGCTCCTCCCGCCACCCCTCTTCACCCCCTCAGTCTGCTGTCTTCCTCATAGTACTCATCACACTGAAATACTTTTGTTTCCTTGTGTAGGCTCTGTCTCTGCCTTTAGAGGGCAAGCTCGGTGCTGGCAGCAACTCTTTCTGGCTTATCTAGAACAGTGCCTGGCAATACACGTGTGTTGAATGGATGGCTAGAGATTTTGTGAGAATTAAATGAGAACATCGCCGAAACCGGTTTGGCTCAGTGGATAGAGCGTCGGCCTGCGGACTGAAAGGTCCCAGGTTCGATTCCGGTCAGGGGCATGTACCTTGGTTGCGGGCATATCCCCAGTAGGAGATGTGCAGGAGGCAGCTGATCGATCGTTCTCTCTCATCAATGTTTCTAATTCTCTATCTCTCTCCCTTCCTCTCTGTAAAAAGTCAATAAAATATATTAAAAAAAAAAAAAAAGAGAACATGAATTTAGCACCTTACTCCGGGCATGAAGTAAGCACTCAGTTAATGTCAGTGTAATGGATATGAATAGTAAATTGTAGCGTTTTGTAAATTACAAGAGGAGATGTAGCTTTTCTAAATTGCTTAGATCATGTCTCTCCCCTAGGGCCCACAGGCCATCTGCCGCAGTCTCTCTCTCGTGTCAGAGTTTAATCATCTTTTTCATATTTTTTGCCCAGACGTCCTTGCACACCGCAGATGGAGGAGGATTTGAAGTGTCCTGTCTTATTCTCAATAGTGGTGAAGTATGGTACCTATTTGCTTAACAATGGACAGGTTACTTTGATTTTCTAAATTGTATAAGTCATCCCATTCGATTGAATGCCTTATCGATTGAATGACTATCCCATTGATTGTTATCATACTGGTCTTAGAGAGCACATTCTACTGTACTGGAAACAGGACAGCACAATTACTCTAAACTGTCCTCGGTGACCCTGATACCTGAAACTGTAATTAACATGCTTAATTCTGCATGTGTAATCTGCTTTTTTGCGAGCCAGGTGCCTCATTCCAAACCCTGGGATGTAATCAATACCTTTGTGATCTTTGCCTATATAAGTCTGGTTTGGCCACCATCTTATGGCTATGAGATTTGGGAATGGCCCCTCATAGTCCCGGATTGTAATAAATGTGACTCTTTAATTCGACTTCTTGAGGCGTCCTCCTGTGATTCGCGGGGTACATTACAACAGTGGGTTCCTGGTCTTGGATGGGATCTTGCCTCCATTCCTCCTCCCAGCTGACTCCCGTGTTGTCTCTTTCCGCCTGTCACACTGTCCTTTCTCCACATGACATAGAGCTGGACTGATCCTCCTTCGTATGAAATCAGAGCATGCCCAACCTCCCTCCCTCCCTTTTCCCTCCCTCCCTCCCTCCCTCCACTGCTGAAAATCTTTCAATGGCTTACCTTGATCCTGAGGATAAAAGCCCTTTCTGTTCCATGGCCTGCGAGTTTCTAAGTGGCAGCTTTTCACTGGCTGCTTCCTCTTTCTGGGTCATACCCTGGCTCACTTCCTGTCTTGAGACCTTTCTCACCTGCTGTTCCCTGCTGCCTGGAACGCATCTCCCTTAGATCTTCACTGTCTCCTCAACACACAGGCATTTCCTGACCAGCCCTCTGAGTAGCCTGGCCCTGTCCTCATTCACTCTGTCGCCCACCATGAGCCTGGTACTATTCCAGGAACTTACATTAACTCATTAATTCTCAACCTATGAGGTAGGGCCTGTTATTCTCTCCATTTTACAGATGAAGATACGGAGGCACAGAGAGGTGTTCTAGGGTGAGCTGTGCATAGTGAAGCTGGGGTTTCAAACTTGGGAGATACCTGGCCCTCGCTGCTTCTGCGCACCCCGTTGGTGTTTTACTGGATGCCTAACATGGATCTCTCTTCCACTTACCTTGTTTGTTTATTTGTTTACTTTTTTATTGTCTCCTCATTAGAAAGGAAGCCTCATGGGAGGTGGGGTCTTACGTGTCTTGCTCACTGTGGTGTCCCCAGCACCTAGGATGGTGCTTACCACGTAGCCAGTGTTTGGGAAATGTTTGTTGGATGCATGAGTGACCTCCGAGGACAGGTTCTCTCCTTCGGGTGTCCACTTGGCACAGCCCTCCATTGCCGCGCTTCCCACACCTCTGGTCCTGTTACCAGTGTCCACCCACCTCTCCTAACCCAGGCCTGGGTTCCTCTAGCATGGGGCCGCGTTATTCCTGGAGGAAGCCACATGGCCCAGCACCGTGCCTGGCATACAGAGTTTGCTCACGAAATGCGGGATGAATCCAGGGCCTACATATTCTGATTTTAGAGACTAAATTAAAAACCTAGCGTTCTTTTTTTTTTTTTTTTTAGTGCCTTCCTCCGGCCCATGGCAACACAGCTGCCGAACGAGCTTCCTCCAAAAACCTAGCGTTCTTGCCAGAAAAGTATAGGTGTGGGCTTCCCACACCTCTGGTCCTGTTACCAGTGTCCCCCAACCTCTCCTAACCCAGGCCCTGGGTTCCTCTAGCACGGAGCCGCATTATTCCTGGAGGAAGCCACATGACCCAGCCCTGTGCCTGGCATACAGAGTTTGCTCAGGAAATGCGGGATGAATCCAGGGCCTTCATATTCTGATTTTAGAGACTAAAATAAAAACCTAGCGTTCTTGCCAGGGAAGTATAGGTGTGAGGGCAGGTGCTCTTTTCTCAAAAGGAGCTGGAGATGTCACAGTGCCTGTCCAGTCTAGAGAGACACAAACTCGGGTAATTGAGTGACTAATTTTTCATGATTACTAGTAATGGCTGACATTAGCACAGCAGTTTACAAGGGACAAATCCCTTGAGTTCATTTTAACCTCATGGCTACAGTAGTTTAGTGCCAATTTTACAGATGGTCAGATGAGGCTGCGAGAGGGAAAGGCACTAATACAGGTTCACACATCTAGTAAGAGGCAGAGCCGGGATTTCATTTATTTACTTTCAGCAAACATCCATGGGGCACCTTCTGTGTGCCTGGTATGGAGTTAGGTGTGGAGGATGAGCAAGGAGCAGAGCAGGTCCTGCAGTCCAGGAGGGTACCTTCTTCTTATTTAAAATTTTTTTTTTTTAAATTGATTTCAGAAAGGAAAGGAGAAGGAGAGAGAGAGATAGAAACATCAATGATGAGAGAGAATCATTGATTGCCTACCTCCTGCATGGCCCACACTGGGGATCAAGCCCGCAATCTGGGTATGTGCCTTGACTGGGAATTGGACTGTGACCTCCTGGTTTATAGGTCAATGCTCAACCACTGAGCCATGCCAGCTGGGAGTGGAGGGTACCTTCTAAAAGAGGGGAGATAGACCATGGGCAGGTGTACAAAGAGATTTGAGAAGTGGGTAAACATGCTACTCCTGCATGGCCCACACTGGGGATCAAGCCCGCAATCTGGGTATGTGCCTTGACTGGGAATTGGACTGTGACCTCCTGGTTTATAGGTCAATGCTCAACCACTGAGCCATGCCAGCTGGGCGTGGAGGGTACCTTCTAAAAGAGTGGAGGTAGACCATGGGCAGGTGTACAAAGAGATGTGAGAAGTGGGTAAACATGCTGTAACAGGGATGTGTGTTAGAGAATGATTTGGGGCGCAGCACTTTTAAGGTGGCGCTTCAGGAAGGCACCTGTGAGGAGGTGACATTTGAGCAGAGACTGCAGGATGAGAGGGAGCAGGCCCGGGGAAATCTAGGGGAAGAACATTTCAGCGGAGGCAACAGGCCCTTTCTCTTCCCACATGTGGCCTTCTGGGGAGGGAAGGGTGAGTGCTGGGGCTGTAGGGATCCTCTTAGTCACTCATCTGGTCAAACCTGCACTCCAGACAGGCATTTCCTTGTCACCTGTCTGGCTGGTTGCTGTTACCTCTGCTTGGATGTGCCTAGTGTTGGGGGGATCACTCTAATGATGCTCCTTTGCCCTCTATGGATTTCTTTTTGGTAAACTTTCCTAGTTCCTTTATTTATTTCTTTCCAGCTTGGCTCACTGTGTATACTTTATTATTATTATTATTGATGTTTTACAGAGAGGAAGGGAGAGGAATAGAGAGTTAGAAACATTGATGAGAGAGAAACATCTATCAGCTGCCTCCTGCACACCTCCTACTGGGGATGTGCCCTCAACCAAGGTACATGCCCTTGACTGGAATCCAACCTGGGACCCTTCAGTCCACAGGCCGACGCTCTATCCACTGAGCCAAACTGGTTAGGGCCTTGATTTATTTCTTGGTGTCACCCCAATTCCAACTTGGTCCCCGTTTTCTCATGCCTTCCAGTTTGTCAGAATTCTAACAAAGTGGCCACCTCCAGAACCACTCCTCGCCTCCAGGACCTCTCTTTTCTGACTTGGTTTCTACCCTCCTCTTTGGGTCCTTTCTTACCGCCTGCATGGCCCCCCACCCCCTCACACAAACAAATTTTCTCTCCCCTACCCTCTTTGGCCCTATCTGACACTCTTATCCTCTCAGATCCTCTCTCTGCCAGGCAGGTGAGCTACCTCTGAGCTGTTGGCTTGGGCATCTGCCTTGAGCTGACTGGATTTTGCCATTTTTTTCCTCCTAATGTGCTGTTTTTGTGCTTGGAAGGCCCCTTTGTTCTTTGTCTAGTTTTCTTTTCCAATATTGCATTAAAAAAATCTTTATTGTTGAGATTATTATAGATGTCCCTCTTTTCCCCCTTTTGCCCTCCTCCACCCAGTCCCCGCCCTGCCCCAGGCCTTCAGCACCCAATGTCTGTGTCCATAGGTAATGCATGTCCTATATAATAAAAGGCTAATGTGCAAATCAACTGAATGGCAGAACGACTGGTCGCTATGACACACACTGACTACCAGGGGGCAGATGCTCAATGCAAGAGCTGCCCCCTGGTGGTTAGTGTGCCCCCACAGGGGGGAGGGCTGCTCAGCCTGTTTAATCTCTTCCCACCCTCCTTCCTTCTGAGAATCATCACTACTCAGGAGCTGCCCCCTGGTAGTCAGTGCACTCCCACAGCCAACCTCCCGCAGCACCCCCCACCCCCCTGGCTGGCCAACCTCCTGCAGCCCCTCCACGTGGCCAGCCAGCAAACCTCCCGTGGCCCCTCTCCCTGGCTGGCCCCTGCATTGGCCCCGATTGGGGGGGGAGGGGCGGCGGGCTGGCTGGCTAACCTCCCAGGGTCCTTCTCTCTGGCTGGCTGGCCCCCCCATAGGCCTTGATTGCCAGCCAGGCTGAGGAACCCCACCTGTGCACAAATTTGTGCATCAGGCCTCTAGTTTCATATAACACTGGTTTGCTGGTGATGAACTCCTTTAGCTTTTTCTTGTCTGTGAAGCTCTTTATCTGACCTTCAATTCTAAATGTTAGCTTTGCTGGGCAGAGTAATCTCAGTTGTAGGTTCTTGCTGTTCATCTCTTTGAATATTTCTTGCCACTCCCTTCTGGCCTGCATAGTTTCTGTTGAGAAATCAGCTGATAGTCATATGGGCATTCCCTTGTAGGTAACTAACTGCTTTTCTCTTGCTGCTTTTAAGATTCTCTATTTGTCTTTAGCCCTTGGCATATTAATTATGATTTGGTGTGGTCCTCTTTGGGTTCCTTTGTTTGGGACTCTATGTGCTTCCTGGACTAGTAAGTCTATTTCTTTCATCAGGTAGGGGAAGTTTTCTGTCATTATTTCTTCAAATAAATTTTCAGTGTCTTGCTCTCTCTCTTTTGGCACCCCAATAATGCGAATGTTGGTATGCTTGAAGTTGTCCCAAAGGCTCCTTACACTATCTTCATATTTTTGGATTCTTTCTTCTTTTTGCTCTTCTGGTTCAGTGTTTTATGCTTCCTCATATTTCAAATTGTTGATTTGATTCTCAGAATCCTCCACTCTGCTGTTGAATCCCTGTTTATTATTCTTTATTACCTTATAACCATGGTTTTGAACTCTATATCCAGTAGTTTGCTTTCTTCCATTCTTTCATTTGTGACATGTTTCTTTGTCCCTGCATTTTGGCTGCTTCCCTGAGTTTGTTTCTATGTACTGGGTAGAGCTGCTTGGTCTCCTTTAGCTGGTAAAGTGGCCTTGTCTAGTATATGTTCTGTAGGGACCAGTGGCTCAGCCTCCCCAGTCACTTGAGCTGGGAGCTCTAGGTGTACCCCTTTGTGGGCTGTGAGCACAGTCTTGTTGTAGTTGAGACTTGATTTCTCTTGGTGTCACTGGGAGGAATTGACCTCCAGGTTAATTGGCTGTGAGGACCAGCTGCAACTACAGTGGGAGAGCTGCTGTGCAGGACACACCCCTATGGAGCAGGACTTGCTTTGGTGGGGCTTTGGTGTTCACTGAGTCTGTCCCTTGAATGTGTCACTTATGGATGTATAGAGTTGTAATCTGGTATGGATTGATACTGACTACTGGGTAACACTGGTTCTTGGGTGTCCAGGGAGAAGCAAAGCCAGCCACTGCCTGGGGCCACTCAGTAGGAGCTACAGAGAGTTCTGCAGATCCCTCCTCTTTGTATTGGGTTTGGAAGTGCCCAGATGAGGCCCAGCTGTGAAGCAAGGCAGGCTGGTATTGGTGCCGGGTCTTATGCCTTTTATTGATAGGTTTGGGCCTCCCTGACCCAGCTTCAGCTTGTTTGAAAGATTTCAGCCTGAGCAAGGACAGGCCATTCATATGCACACAGCTTGGGTGGGGTTGTAAATTGGATGAGGCGGAGTCTTAGGGAATCCACCTGGGTGGAGCAAAGAGAAATGACTGCTAGTCAGCCCTGCGACTGGGGTGGCCTCACCATACGAACAATGATTCCTACGAGCACCTCCATCTGGGAGAAAGCTGCCCCCGAGTTACTGCCCTGATGCCAGATAATCCAGTTCCTCCTCGTATGTGTCTGTGTTCCCTAGAGCCTTGCCCTGGGGCTGGAGCTCAGAGGAAGCAGGACCTTGTAAGTTCATTTTGTGGTGTCTGCCTTTTAAGAGGAACAGCTGGGTTTCCAGCAGCCTCTGTGTCACTGAACCCCAATCCCCACTGGTTTTTACAGCCGTAGTTCTTACTGCCCGTAAGGACTTCTTTTCCCAGTTCTGGGACTCTGGGCTGGGGGTCTGGTATGGGACTGGGATCCTTTGCTCCTCTGGGCGGCCTCTGTAGAGATGATCTCCCTCCCCATTAAAAAAGCAGCCCATGTGGGTGCCAGACCAGCCCTTTCAGTGCCCCTGCACCTCCTACCAGTCTCAGTGCTTTTTTTACTTCTCTAGTTGTAGGACTTCCACTGAGCCAGCTTTCCAGCAGTTCTGAATGATGGTTATTCTGTATTTTAGTTGTAATTTTGATGTGGTTGTGGGAGGCAGTGAGTATAGGCATTTACCTACGCCGCCATCTTCAAATCTCTACATTCTCTTTGACTAGTTTTCAGCTCTTGGTCTAATGTCACTTCCTAGGCTATGCCTTCCCTCCCACCGCAGACCAGGTTCCCTGTGCTTCCCCTTCCTGACACTCATAGCACTGAAAGTTAAGTGATTACTTGTGCACTTATTTGATCCATGTATGTCTCTTCCATCACTCGGAGCACCTGGTGGGGTGGGGATAGGGCCTGTTTTCCCAGTTGCTGGAACAGTGCCTGATAGAGTAAGTGCCCAATAAAAATTTATTGACTTAACTAGTCAGTGAATAAATGGATTGAAATTGGTATGAGATCATTCAACTGGCATTACCCAGAGCCACCCCTTTGCAACAGGACCCTGCGTGTATAATGATATATGAGATTCTTGTCTTCAAAGATCTTCTCATCTAGCTGAGGGAGACTCAGGTGCCTGCCAGGCCCTCCATATACATCCTCTCATGTCATGCCTAGAAGTGAGAGGCACCAGTGTTACTGATTTCTGATCAGCCTTTTATGCTAGTCTTCCCTTCCTGTCCCTTCCAGATAAAGCAAATGCAGTTTCTAATAGGAATCTCCAATGCCTTAACAAGGGAGGTGGTGTTTATTGAGTGCCTACTGTATGTCAGGCACTGAGCTAGTGCTTTACATAAACATTCATCTCTTTAATTCTTTCTAAGAGTTCTCTGAGAGAGGCATCAATCCTTCCATTGATGCAGGTGGGAAGAATCAGGCTCAGGATGGTTGGGTACTTAGCCCAGTGGTCGGCAAACTCATTAGTCAACAGAGCCAAATATCAACAGTACAACGACTGAAATTTCTTTTGAGAGCCAAATTTTTTAAACTTAAACTATATAGGTAGGTACATTGTTATTAACTTAATTAGGGTACTCCTAAGGCTTAGGAAGAGCCACACTCAAGGGGCCAGAGAGCCGCATGTGGCTTGCGAGCCGCAGGTTGCCGACCACTGACTTAGCCTAATGAGTGAGCTGCTGAGTCAGGAATTGAGAGTGGTTTTGTGTCCTCAAAAGCTTTCACCCTTATGGGTTGTGAAGGGCTTTCCTGAGGTTTGAAGAGGTCCCTTTTTCCTCCTGGGACTCCTCCACGGAAGGGAGAAATCCAGAATTTCCTCATGAGAGGGGCTTAGTGACAGCTATCTGGTGAAAAAGAGGGAGCCCTGGGCTTATTTTGAAGCTGCAATTGCATAACAGACATCCTGTTTTTACTGAGGTTGTACGTTTATTGGGGGAAAGCATTCTGGAGGTCGTGTGGGCACTGAGCCTGAGCCATCTCTTGGAAAAACTGATGAGCATACAGACCATGGAACTGGGAGAAGGGGAAGGGACAAGGGAACGCGCATCAATTTCTCAAATGCTCCCTATACACGAGGCACCTCACTTACATTGATTATTCTAGACTGTGAGGTGGAGGGTTGTTGCCAGGATCTGTAGGGTGCTCTAAGAACTTGGCCAAATGTATGTTGACCATATAATTTACTATCCAAACCAAGGTGCTTCTGGGAGAGGAAGGCATCACTACCACATTAATTATACCAGACAAGAGGTGTAAACTGCGAGTGTTCCGTGCAAACTGAGAGCTGTGGCCACCCTACAGAGGAGGGACATAAAATTACCCGTGTCCAGTTATCTTTTGCTGCGTAACATCCCCCCAAAACGTGGCAACTTAAAACAACAACAATCCTTTTACTATTATCTCTCTTGGTTTCTGTGGTCAGGAATTTGGGAAGGGCTTGACTAGGTGGTTCTGGCCTGGGATCTCTCCTGCCATTGTAGTTGGATGTGGATGCGGCTGGAGTGGCTGGTGGCTGGCTAGACCTTTCTCTCTCTCCATTTCATCTTAGGGCTTCTCTCACGGAGAGTTTGGGCTTCCTCACAACATGGCGACCTCAGGACAGCCAGACTACAGCGCTTCCACGGGAGCTGAAGACTTCCAGGGCAAGTGTTCTGGTTAAGAAGCTGGAAGCTGCACGGCGTTCTGCGATCTGGCCTCAGAAGGTACGCACATCACTTCTGCCCCTTCTGTTGGTTACCAGCAAGTTGAAAGCTTGCCCAGAGCTAAGGCACAGGCTCTAGAAGAGCATGTGGAGGGAGAGTGTGGCTGTGGCCACCTTAGGAGCATCAGATCTGCCGCAGATGTAAACCGGCCTTTTCTAGGAGCCACCACTTGGTTGTCTGCAAATACGTGACTGAAGAGTTTGGGCCAATCAAGTGCCAGGCAGAGTTTCTGAGGAAGTGTGGTTGGGAGGAGGCCTGGAGTGTGACTGGCTGTCCAAGGAACACTGATTAGAAGGAATGGAGGTGTGAATGGGAGTAGAGAAAGGGGAGAGTCACAGAGCCAGAGAATGGCATTGTCCAGGGAGCAGGTTCCTGGCTGTACTGGCCGGAGCATCATTTCCATTTCCTGGGCAAGCTGTCCCCTCAAGTTGCCTCTGCTGAGAAATGCTTCTTCAGACTAATGCTGTCCCTTGTTCTGTCTTCCTCCAACTAGTGAGCCCTGTGAGGCATGAATCATCCTGGAGCTTTTACTGCAGGGAATTCTGTGCTGGTCAGGCGGACAGAAATGCCCCGTCCTGCTGCCAGTTGAATTTCCTGGGCTCTCCCTTAGTAAATGGATCTTCTGTCTGTGCATCAGCCTTACAAGGTTGTTTAAAGGGAATCTGCCTCTGCCGTGTGTGTAGACATACCTCAAACTGTGATGGGTTCACCAAGGTCTCCTCCTGGGCACCTGTCCTTGTGGCCAGCACCCCTTCCAGTACAGCAACCTGCATCTCCTCATGAGCCTCCTAAAAACCACCAAAGGGATTATAGTCCCATTTTATAGATGAGAAAACTGAGGCACAGTGAGGAGGTATGTCTTGTTCAAGGCCAGCCAGCTGATAAAGGTGCAATTGGGATGGAAACCCAGGTGTGCCTGGAGCCAAAGCTGTCACTTACACAAATTCTAAGATCCCCAAACGCTCTGAAAACCACTTGATGTGACTTGAAAGTGAGGTTCTTTATAATCTTTATTTTGCCCCACTTGGTGTGACTGTTTTATACATTTGCTGTGGAAAAATTAACGGGTTTATGGAGGACTGTCCCAGAGTTTGCTGGACATATTACATACAATGCGGTAGGGCTACCATAAAACCTCCTGAAATCCCAATTTGTAAAACACATTGAGCCCCAAACTTTCCCTTCTCAGCAATGTGGAGATCACTGCCCCCGTTTTACAGATGAGAGAGACTGAGGGTGGGGGATGTGGTGCCCCAGGCAGACTGCATGGAACCTCAGTACTTTAGCATCTTGTTGGAGGTGTGTGGGTAGGAAGGGAAGCCTTTGAGTCACCAGCCCACCCCAGCTTCCCAAGAGCCTCATCGCCCCAGTAAATTCTTAAAAATAGAAAACTTTTAAGGATTAAAGCCCCAAAGGATGCTTCAGGCACCCTGGAAGCAAGGGAGGCTCGCTGTATATTCCAATGGTCGGCATTCAGATTTATTTTTCATCTCAGCTGGATGTACACTCACCCATCACAGGATCAGTTCTCAGAATAGAGAGGTACCTGTTGAATCATCCACCCCACTTCCTGCCTCGTGCGGGCATCTCTCCAAGTGCTGAGCCATCCACTTCTCTCTGTGGCCTGAGATATATCAGGACTTGCAGCCCTGGTGACAGGACACAAAATAGACTCCCATTTCCTCTGGAACCATTTAGCTAGTTTAGAGAATGCTTGGCTTTTTGATGGGATGAGCAATACCCGGGCCTCTCCTCGGCTTTTTCTGTCTCTCTATCCATTTTCTTTGGATGGAAGCTGGGTCTTGGTGTCCTGGGGACAGAGGTAAACACTGATTTTGGCTTGATCTGGCAGTGCAGTCACAGGCTGGAAGGTGCCCTCCCTGAACGCCAGGTCCACTTTCTGCAGCACAGATGTTCTTTTCTCTCTTTGTGCCACATGCTCTGGCTCCCACTGTCCTTAGGACTGGTAACCATGTATGCGGGTGCCTGGGGATCCTTGTTGGGGCCGAGTGACTGCCGGTGATATTTAAGGGGGTCTCATGGGGCGGTATGAGACCTGTGGAGAGGGACTGCCTGAATTGGAATCCTAGGTACCACTTGGGCCAGTCGTGCAACTCTCTGAGTCTTGGCTTCCTTGCCTGCAAAATGGATGGGATCAGAGTATGTATGTCGTGAGATTTCAGTCAGGTACTGTGTAAAGTGCTTAAAGCAGCAAACCCTTAATCCATGCCAGTCTGATTAGCAGGGTCTCCAGAGGCCTGTGGGGGCTTTGACTGGGACAAGACCTGCAACGTTTCAAAAGCAATCACCTGCCTAGCCGGTGTGGCTCAGTGGTTGAGCATTGAGCTATGAACCAGGAGGTCACAGTTCGATTTCTGGTCAGGGTATATGCCTGGGTTGCAGGCTTGATCCTCAGTGTGGGGCATGCAGGGGGCAGCCGATCAATGATTCCCTCTCATCATTGATTTGCATCTCTCTCTCCCTCTCCCTTCCTCTCTGAAATCAATTAAAAATATATTTTTTAAAAAAGCAATCACCTGTCACTTATGGGGATGCAGGCTCTGAGCTGGCACTAAGGGTTCAGAGAGACCCAGCAATGTTCTCAAGTGGTCGGAAGTCTAGTGGGAAAACAGGTGTGGCTAATCCAGGGGCTGCAATACCTATAAAGTAATTAATGAACTATGTATTGTCTACATTTAAAAAGCAGATTTCACATAAATATCCAGATCTTTCGACTTCTCTTAAGATCTGGCAACACTGGGCTGGCTTCGTTGCACGATGATAAGAAGCTGGAGCTGAATAGAAACTGCCCCCTGGGCAGGGGCCCTCTACTTGCCATAGGCCCCACTCCTCCCAACTGCATCACATCTGACCTTCCTGCCTGGCCCCTGGGGAACTGGCAGATGAATGACGATGCAGCGCTGTGAGTGCTGGGGGAGCACAGCGCCGATGATAACTCAGCCGTGGGCAGTCCGGAAAAGCTTCCCAAGGGAGGCAGTCACAGCTGCTTCTCTGCACAGCCTTCGGATGCTGCTGAACACCCTCGTCGTTATGGCTCAAGGACGTGAATAAAGGACAGTCAGAGCTGGCAGGGATCTCTGGACATAAAGCAACCAAGGCTGAGTGGCTTGTCTGAGTTCACCCAGCCAGCTGATGGCACAAGCTGGGCCAGAACCAGGACCAGCACCGGAAATAGGCATGGTCCTCGGGAGTCAGAGAATTTGTGCTCTGGAATCTTGAACTTGAGTTCCGTCTCTGCCACTTACTGGCACATGACCTTGGACAAGTTATTTAATCTTTTTGAACCTCAGCTTCCTTATCTGTAACCGAGGGCTATGGATTCTGATCTCAAAGGCATGTTCTGAGGGTCAAATAATGAGAAAATGGATAGGGGACACTCAGAAGCCCCAGAAGACTCCAGCCATGTGATGGTCATTATGATTATTGAAAAATAGCCACCTTCTCCCAGCAGACTTTGGTACCATCTGTTCCACAGGGACCTGGATTTGGGATCTGTCCCCCCATCTGTTTTTGCCAGCTCCTTATGGGCACATGCATGCCCCTTTCCAGGGCTGGACCCAGGAAGGGATTGTTTTGGAATTCTCTGACCTTGGCTGTACGCAGGACCCTGGGTGCAGGGCCTAAGAGCTCCCCTCTTCCTGGAGGACCCAAGGTCAAAGGAGTTGCTGAGATAGAGATGGGAAGGAAGCAGAATTTCCTGAGAAAAAGAAGAGAAATGTCAATATTTCTTTCATTTCCTTCAAGACACTTACTGCTGTGTATCAGGGCTACCTGTAAGTCCCTTTTCGGTGGAACTATTTAGGTGATATGACATTGTTGACTTGAGGTCCCTCTGTCCTGAGTTCAAATCTTGGCTTTCCTCTGGATAGGGTGAGTGTGTCTTTGGGGAAAATTTCACACTTCTCTAAACCTCAGTGTCCTCATTTGCAAATGGGCTTCCTGAAAGTATTTATATCATTTTGAGGAACTCAAGTAAGATATGGTAAAGGGTCTAGCATCGTGAGAAGCTCAATAAATTATTTTGGCCAATTATTACTATTTTTAGAAATACTATACTAATAACCATTTATCATGTTTGTATAGCATTTTACCATTTATAAACTAGCTGTGCTTTTCTTATCCCATTTGACCTTCACAACTATTCTCTGAGGTGGCCAATGCAGGGATGATAACCTCATTGCACAGATGAGAAAACTGGAGCCCAGAGAGGGCAGTGGTTTGCTCAAGGTCACACAGCTTGTGAGTAGCAGGGTGAAGTTCAAGTCTTCTAGGTGAAGGATGAGCAGCTGTGTCCACATCCACAGGGTCAGGCCAGAGCACGAGGGTGGACCACTTCTTGGAGACTCCAGTTCTCCCAGAGACCCCGTTATGGAGAAATAATCCAGTGTGCTGCTTTAATCCCTTACTGAACCTATTTATACTCTGAGTCTGTACCATCTCTGGGGGTGAAGAAATTTCTCCTTGTTTTGTGGTGTCAGACGAACTGTTCTTGCATTTGTTCTAAAAAGACCTCTATGGGGTTCCCAGCAGCCCCCACCAGGCCTGGTGCCTGTTTACTAGAAGGTCCATGTGTTTTGAATTCTGGCCACGGGATGGCGCTGTTCGCCAAGGCTTGAAAAGTCATGACCGTCACTGGGACTGCATTTCATTGCATCAGACAGCAATTAAACACCTACTGTGTGCAAGTTGCTGTGGCTGCAGAGGAGAGGACTGCAGTTATTCATTATTGTTATATTAAGATAACAAAGACAACATCAGTAACCTTGGTACAGATTTTCATAGCTGAGCAATTTACATAGATTATCTGGTTCCATTTGCCAGACAATCCTGATGTAGCAGGTGGGGTGGATCTGTCAACCCCTGTTTGAGGAGGAAACTGAGGCACAGAGAAGTGATGGGACTGTGTGAAGGGACAGAGGAGAGTGGCACATTGGTAGGCACTCTGAACCGTAGACGGTAGTCATATGGGGTAGACCAGA